CCCCAAAACCCCAAAACCCCATCTTCAATTCACAAGAAATTAAAGAGATATACCTTATGAAATTAAAATTATAATTTTAGATAGTTTCTTGCAAGTATTTATTTTCAGCTCTAGAAGAAATGCATTGAGCACTTATGCTCTAAATTTGTTGCCCACAGTACCTTTTATATATCATCATAGTCTAGATAGCCTTTAGCTCCTGTATCAGCTTCCTCAAAGATTTTTTCTTGCAAAGTTTTGATATCTTCTTATGACATTCTATTACCAAACAATAGCTTCATTATATTCCCTAAATCCTTCTCATCAACCCTCTTATTCTAATCAGTATCAAATATTCTGAAATAAACTATATAGATGAGTAAGATAAGTTGAAATTTATTAGAAATTAGTTTCAATAATTTCAACTTACATTAAATTTTTTCATCAAGACCCGTTTTTGGGTTGAACAGAGATAAATACTTGGCGAACTCTGCAAAAGTTATATATGCTTCAGTTCCGAGCTTCTTAACAAATTCATTATCATCTTCTTCTGTCTTAAGATGTTCATCCTCCTCCTCTACTAGATCATTCATAGTCTTAGTTCTTGATATACCATCTGGTGCTACCTTACTCCCCTTCTTGCCCATGAATTCCTACTTGCCTTTGCCGTTCTCCCCTGGATGATCAGTTTAAGTAGCATCGAAGTTTAAACCTTTTTATTCTTCCGGAAAAGAGACAGTCTCCTTCCTGAGTGCATCATTAAAATCCTCCAGTTATAGCTATACACATTCACATTTAAAAATCAATTTAGATTACTTACAGAATCCTATCTCATTAACCTCATTGTTTTAACATCCTCATCTGATTTTAATTAGAATCCGTCTACTAATCGAGATCTGAAAGGATTGTACTTAAGCTCAGGCAAATTCAAAAATTCCTTATTAGTGAGTTATCCCTGTAAAAGGGGTGTAAATTTTTTAGACAGTCTATATAAACTTACTTACCCTTTTTATAATGTCAAGTTCTTTAAATTTTCTATACAGTTTCAATAATTCTAATTCATTGACTAAATATTTATATGTTAGATCTAAGTATTAATGCCGTATTTTATCTAGCCTTAAACCAGCTCATTAGACTTACATTAAGTGTTCATCATTATCTCTTCAATATCCTAATCAGTTAATCTATTGTTAGATAATTCAATGATTTTTAACAGATGCTCCTCTTTTGAGCTGCGACAACCCATTTAAACTTGAAATTATTAAATATTTTTATAATAGGACTTATTATTTAGATTACTTTATTACTCATTTGGACATTTACCTTTAATATTTTAGAATGGGGTTTTGGGGTTTTGGGGTTTTGGGG